ACAGAGAAAGAGATCTATCGGATTGACCACTATTTGGGTAAAGAGATGGTACAGAATATTCTTGCCCTACGTTTTGGGAACCGTCAGTTGGAGCCGACCTGGAATAATGAACACATCGCTAACGTTGAGGTGCTGTTCAAAGAGCCGTTCGGCACAATGGGAAGAGGGGTTTACTTTGATGAATATGGTATGATTCGAGATGTGGTGCAAAACCATTTACTTCAAGTGTTGGCACTCATAGCTATGGAGAGACCGGAAGCTAACGATGCGGAGAAGATTCGTGACGAAAAAGTGAGTTTCATTATTGTTAAATTTGTTGTTTTTCAAAAGTTTTATCATAACATAGTTTTAATTTTTAAAAACAATTTTTATTTTGTAAAGTTATATCTATTGAAACACATGAAAGACTTAGCGATGGAAGACATAGTGTTGGGTCAATACGTGGGGAATCCTAAGGGTGTGGGCGACGCCACTAAGGGTTATACCGAAGACGACACCGTGAAAGACAAGAACTCGACGACTGCCACCTATTCTCTGGTCACGCTTCACATCGATAACGATCGCTGGAGAGGAGTTCCCTTTTTCATCAGATCTGGTAAAGCGACTGATGAGAGCAGAGTTGAGGTTAGGGTTCAATACAAACCATTGGCTGAAGACCTGTTCAATGGTCAGGCGAAGCGGGATATGACTATCATTCGTATTCAACCCAATGAAGCCGTTTATCAAAGACTTAACATTAAGAGACCCGGAATGAGCAATGAATTGATTGAGACTGAACTCGATCTCACTTATGCCACCCGTTTCCATGTATGGCTTTTGTATTATAATTCTCACAGTATTTATTAAATAATGATATATTTAATTGTATGGACAGAACGCATACCTTCCCGATGCCTACGAGCGCTTATTGTTGGATGTATTCAACGGAGAACAGGCTAACTTTGTCCGCACAGACGAGTTGAGTGAGGCCTGGCGTGTGTTCACTCCCGCCCTCCACACCATTGAAAAGGAGAAGAAAATGCCCGTTAAGTATGTGTTCGGCGCCCAGAGTTTCAAAGAAGCCGATGATCTCGAGGCTAAGTATGGACTGATCCGCGAAAACAACTAATCATTTGTTATCACTTATCTTTAAAATCCCATTTTTAAACATTAATTTTGTATTTTTAATCTGTAATTTAAACCATGATAATATTTTTATTTTATAATTATCAAAATAATAAAAATAGTAATACATTATATAAAATGCTTATTGAATGTGTTGTATATTGGGAAGTAAAGTATTATTTTATAATTTTTAAAGAGCTGTTATGTGGTTATTTTGGTTTATTGTATGGATGCAAAGTATATTACAATTATGTATTATAATTGTGTATTACAATTAACATGCACTGTATAATGTAATGTAAGTTATAGTACTGTATTCAGTCCGTACTTAAAGAGGAAAATACTGTATTGTATATTAAATAATAGTGAAAAATATGTATTGATTGGAGTATAAATTTCTAAGTGGTTATAAATGGCAAAGAGCAATCAAAACGTAGATTAATCTAATAAGTTTTAGTCTAAATCAATCGATAAAAGGTTCAAATATAAACTAACTTGTAAGATGATCATATTTGTTGAATTATTGTTGCTATTGAAAAGTAAAAATAATTAATTACAGTACATATTGTTTATTATAAAGTCATAACAAGTTTATGTGTTATTTAATATATTTATGAAAAGTTTAGTTTAAATTAGGTTCAATATTATTTTTATTAAATTAATTTGTAATACAGTATATGAGTGTATAATAGTATAATGTATGCGTTAATAGGATGTATTGTGTATTGAGAAGAATTAGGCACAAATAAGTTGATAAAAAGAACAATATTCCTTATATTATTTCTTTTGTAAAATAAGCTCAAAAATATTGATATAGTTGGTTCGTAAACAATTGCTCGAAATTACCAAGCTCAACTTACATTTGTGTAAAATATACTAAAATGTTATTTTGAAATATTTTAGAATTGGTATATAAACTAATCTAGACAGTTGATAGTTTATAATGTTAAATTAAATTAAGTTTTGTATTGACTTCTTATAAAATGTATTTAAACTTAATTTTGATAAATCAATAATAACCAGCCGATTTTTTTGTAATTATTAATAATCACTATAAATTATTAATACTGTATATGTTTCTAATTTTTAATGTAACGAGACTTAATTTTATAAAGAATAAGAAACTTAAAATCATATATTATTAATTAAATGCTGTATAATATGCCACTCAATAGTTAAAGTGCTCAAAATGTGTAAATTGATTAAATAGTTTCGAGAAAGTGTCTCAAACCCAATATCATTGCTGTCTCTCAAAAACTTTACACATTTTATCAATTGATTTGATAAGAAGTGATTTGTTCTCTCCTTTCACTTAAAACGTTTTCTGATAAGTTATTGCTATATATAAATACAATACGATTTTTGTGAAACACTTTAATTTCTTTAGATCTCATTAAATATTTAGTTATATTTCAAATATAGTTATATTTGTAATTAAACTAAATATGTTGTGTCTGAAAAGTTTGTGCATTTCATTGCTGGTAATCCAGACATTAGTTGAGTCTAAATGGGTTAGTCCTGACAATAGTACCGATGGTTTATTAAATTCTCCATATCCTGATGATGAAGCCTATACTTTTGTATTGCTTGGCATTACCGTAAGTTTTAAATATACAAAATTAATTGCAAATTTCCATTTTATTAATTAATTTATATTTTTGAATAATAGGGTGATTTGTCACAAAAGAAGTTAATGCCAACGCTTTTGTAAGTAAATTATCTCAAATATTATAATATTCAGTTTTGCCTATTTTTACATATAATTTGTCAGTTATTTTATATTAAATCTGATTTTAATGACACATTTAGTACACTATATAAGGAGGGATTATTGCCGAAGAACTTCCAGATCGCGGGTTTCGCGCACTCGAAGTCATCGGTTGAGGCCATTAGAAAACTGGTGGACCCGTATGTCGTCAATACCCTTAAGAATGAACACGAGAAGCAACTGTACGAACAGTTCTGGAAGATTGTGACCTATAATTCAGGCGACTCTCAAGCGGACAAAGACTACGCGCCAGTTGTGGACATCATTAGCAAGTTTGAAGTCGGAAAGACAAAGGGACACCGATTGGTGTACTTCGCTCTCCCCCCGAGTCTATTCGCCAAAACAGCCCTTGCAGTCAAACACACCATTTACTCTAAAACGTGAGTTAATCTCGTTTTTATTTAATATTTTAAAAATCATTTCCATTGAAAGATAAGATATTTTAATGAAAATGACCACTTGGGATTTTAATTATTTAGGATAATGTTCATTTTGAACCTACAATATCCTTCACATTCACTAAATATGAATATCTATAAAGTATTTAAACATTTATTTTACTAATCCTATAGCGGTTGGACTCGACTTGTAATTGAGAAACCCTTTGGAAGGGATAGCGAGTCTTCAAAGGAGTTATCCGACGCTTTGGCCCCAATTTTTACAGAGAAAGAGATCTATCGGATTGACCACTATTTGGGTAAAGAGATGGTACAGAATATTCTTGCCCTACGTTTTGGGAACCGTCAGTTGGAGCCGACCTGGAATAATGAACACATCGCTAACGTTG